GTGACGTAATCACACTTAAAATGCGTACTTCAAGCGTGCAGACCCTGAATTGGGACACAGCTACTGTGGCGTTTTGGATCAACTCAAAGCTTTTCAGGGAGTTTTTAGACTTCCTGTTGACAGCGATTACAGATAGAAGTAACAAACGTATGAAGAAAAGCAGTAAACATTTATATTTTCAGATATTTTGGTGAATGTACTGGCTCTCATGCACCGCCTGTCTACTCTCAGCACTTTATACAAGAGTCCTCATTCACCCACGTTTTCCATGTTTAACTGAGCTCAGGCAGAGAACAGGAACAGGGTTGATGTGCAAGGCTGTAGTAACTACAGTGTGATGGAAACAGTGTCTGAAACTGGGGTGAAGACAGATGTCGTGATCAGCAAGCAGCAGTATGGATTCATGAGCAGGAGCTGGACCAGCACAGCGAGACGGTGGGGAGGCGTGTCATAGATGAGGCCGATGGATCCCATCAGAGATCAGCTCTGAACCTCCTCGTGGTCACGATGCTGACGGACAGGTTGATGCTCACAGATTAAACGTGAGCTGCCAGGAGGGGTGGAGGCGTGTGCTGGATCGCTTTCAAGATCGACCTCCATCACTGCAGAGCTGTTACCCGTGTTGAGTTTCCCCAAAAAGAAAAAAAACACTTTGCACCATTTCACTCGTTAAACGAACAACTGGAACGTTGGGCTGTTCTAAAACGTTACAGATGTACAGACACATCGTTTCTGAAACTCTTTATTTCATTAATCTGAGGTGAGAGAACATTAATTATAGAAAATACCAACACAGTTAAGGCTCCCCTTTACATTTTTAAACCATTAGTGTAAGGTACAAAACAAACAGGCTTCAGTCCCACCACCCACTGAATCTACGTTTCATTCATGAATTAGTGATGACACATCGGGAAGGGAAACGCTCAAAGTCATTATTTGCTGTTCGACCAGTTTCATCATCGCTGATTAAAAACAGGAGAAGGTGCAGCTCGACAACCACCAGGTTCAACTGACTCTGAGCTCCAGAGCCACAGCTCGTACTGTTACCGACAGTTCATAAAACGCTGAAACGAGCTGCTTCTCCCTCTCTGTTTGTTTCAGAGTCAAGATATTCAGAGCAGCTTTATAAACAAGAGCAAAGTTCTGGAAAACTACAGGCTGTGACATCACTTAATGTGTTTAACATGAACCACAGGCCTCGATGACTCTGTCCCACAGGAAAAGTCATCGAGCAAACTTGTTTTAACTCCGTGACACATTTAGACGGCCTTTATCCTTCGGCTTTGAGAGGAACAGCCAGTAATGAAGCAGCAAGCACATTATGCCATCAGATAAGGGGTCCCCCCCACAAACTCCCCCACAGGTTATGACCCACAGCTACATGTGGAAGTTGAAATGCTTGCTGGCGTCGTCACCTGTAGGTGGAGTGCAAGATGTCCCCTGGTACCACAATTGAAAACAAACGAAAACAAATAAGCGTCGTTGTGAATCTGAACCTAAACCCAGTTTAGCTAAAGGTTACCCGAGAGCGAGAGAGAAACGTGAGTGGTTGCAACAAGACGAGATGTCCTGTGTGAAGTGTTTGTGATGCCACAGCCTCCTCACAAATGCTCCCATGAATTAGCTCAACTCTTCAGTCAGAAGCTCCCAGACAGACACATGTAAGCAGCATCCTCATTACAAGGAAACCTGGTGCTGTTATGATGCATGACTGCAGTGTGACACAGTAGCATGACTCTACCTCTCAGTGTGAAACAGCCTAAAGGCCGGAAACAGACGTTTGGCAGTGAACAAATTATTGTTTCGACAGGACGACAGTGATAAGGATTTAACAGTGAGTAGTTTGAACTGCTGCCACGAGTGCAACCCACCCACCAAACCAAAACACTAAACAGAAAGGACACAGGACGGGTTTCTAAATCAACAGGAAGTCTGCGCCGGCGTCAGCAGCTGGTGGTTATGAACCAAACTCGACTGTTTCTTCTGTGATGGGCTTGAACTCGTAGTTTCCTCGTCCATCCATGTGCAGATAATACTACAGAAACAGAGAGAGTGTGGGAAATACAAAGACCAATGGGTTAAAACACATTTACCAATACAAAGAGATGTCGTTTACAACAGCAGAGATCAGTTACAAATGTAACCAAGTGTCAGATGGTTAGGTCTAGGTAACAGTAAGCACCAAGATCAGCATGTTTCTGTACACATGAAGAAGAACTGGGAGGTCCGTCACTATTCACACGTCTAAAGTGACACAAAGGCTTTGTTGTCATTGGTTGACTATACTGCACAAACTAATGAGCAGTAATCCTTTTTGTGCTGATTCTGAGCTGCAGGTTTTGTCTCCAACCAAAATTCACCGAGTCAGCAGCAACAGAAGCAGCAAACTGCGCTTCACATTTGATCAATGTCGTCATGAACTCCCTCTGACTTCTGCTGTTTTGCTTCCACCACAATAAAAATCACACTTCCTGCACAGCTCTCTCTGTACTTCAGGAACAGTTTCCCATCTCAAATCTCTGTTTTCTGCATTATTCATTCACTTATTACCCACCAGTCTACCGTTGTTTACAGCGCTGTCTTTTTCTGTTTTCACTTAAATGACCTCGGACAAGAAAGCCTCATTTCTGCTGTTCAATACTGAAGAAATTTTTTAAAATTATGCAAAACTGCAGAATATTTTTAAGGTTATCTGCTATAAAAAGCCAGACCAGGAAAATCTCCTTCATGTTTTTCTGTTTTATTCTCAGTTACTTTCACACAAAGTATCTGCTGTGATGCTCACAATTCTGATGAAGTCTCACGTGTATCAGTGCTGATAAATGATCAGAATTATAATATTTCTGACTGTCTGAGGCTAAGTTGAATCGAATCAGGACTTTGAGAACCAGAATCGAATGGATTATAGAAATCAGTGATGATACCCAGCCCTAGTGAGCAGCCTAGGCCTGAGAGAAGTGGATGTAGCTGTAATAACAATAGAGGAAAAGAACTATTGATAACTTTTTTGTTAAGTTAAGGCCTGATCCGTCTGAAATTCATAGCCAGCTCTGACACGGTGCCATCAACCTCTGAACACTGAAAAAGCAGCAGTGTGTCCAGAAAACACATTATATGCAGTGATAAATGTACTGTCCAAGTGTCCCTCTAACTCTGCCTTTCAGCAGCAGGTAGCAGCAAACAGGTCGTCAGAGGAGCCGAGATGATGATGACGTTTAACATTTTCTACAATACTGACAAAGCACTTTAAGCACAAGTTTGTTAGTTAATAATTTAGAAATGAATATTGTCTGTATGGACTTCCCCCCAAAGAAAGTGCACATGTAAAACTGCGGTGTTAAACGATGCGGTTGAAAAATTTGAGTGCGCCTAACTTTTGTGCCGGAAGCGCCTAAATTTTTAAAGTTAGGGGCACCGGTGTGCCCATGGCAAACAGTTAGTCTAGAGCCCTGCACTTTGAATCATAAGAACATCCAGTCCTACCTCGTGATGTTTCCACAGGGATTTCCTGTGAGACACCGTGAACAAGGTGATGCCCACCTGTTGAGATAAAAAACAAACCCCGTTTTAAAGAATACCATGGTGAGATTTCACCTCATCTCCAGCCCTGCTGCAAAAGCTCATAGTGTGTTACGGCCCCAGCAGGGCCTCCTTTCAAACGGGTTCATACAGCTGACCCCCATCAGAGTTTAAAGGTACTTCAGGTCAGAGAAAGCTGAGCTCTAGTGCCAGACAGCCTTGTTGGGTAGCAGCCAGCGAGCTGTGTGGTGGCTGATTAACTAACTGACTGACTTTTCAGCTTTTTGACCAACACCTCAGTTTTGTTGCTCTCTCTTTAAAGCTGATAGCAGCTTCTGTGTGTCTTTGAGTTTAGTTAGTAGAAGCTGCAAGCTCAGGACTGGCTGAGCCCTCTGAGGTTGATCAGCTTCAGTTTAGACTGACAACAGTTAGAGGAGGGCGTTGGACAGATGTTATTGTGAAAGCAATAAATTCAGATCAAGGTCAGTCCCTGACATCACTGAGAAGTCAAACATTTAACTGTTCAGTTTCTGTAAACAGGGAAACTTCTAGAAACCAATGAATCCACGATGCACTTTGATATGACTGAATGAAGAAATGATTAAACTGGACGGGAGGAGCCAGTGAGCAGGTTCACATAATCAGTCACTGTGTAACTGGCCCCAGTTCAGCAGAGCCCCCCCAACAGATGTGCTCATGTGCTACATTTATGTGTATGCAAAGACATACCGTCCTGCAATGGGTGTAGATGTAATCCTCAACATCCACACTCACTGCACTGGTGCACTCGTCCAGGATCGCAAACTGGGGCTTGTGGTAGAACAGTCTGGCCATCTACATGAAATAGATGCGTCAGGTAAGTCAGTCACTGCTGATACTCAAATCCACAGCCACAGCACAACTCCTGCATCACACTGCAGGTTTAGGTGTGAGGATAAAGCGCTCCTTCAAATGTGTCTGTTAGCAAGCAGAGAAGGAGCTTTGATCCCCCGCAGACCCGACCCCGCAGAGGGTGAAAGCCCAAACTTCATGCATCTGCCAAACCATGATTGGTTGGGCCAGAAAAACAGAGGAGCAACAGTAGAGGTGACAGTTAGGGCTGTTTGATATAACGATATATATCTGATGACGATATAAAAACATCGTTTCATTTTACGCTGTCGTTTGTTTCGTGGTGTCACAAAATAAACTGTTTACAGCAATATTTGTTCATGTTCTGATGTCTCTGTAGTTATTATTAATTTATTAAAGTTCTCTCTTTCTCTTATATTTAATATAACCACACTACAGACGGACAAGCGCCTGTTTTTATGCGTTGTCATTAGCAACAACGACGGTAAAACCTTCGCGTGTCTGCTTGTTTATGTTCCATATAAACCTTTCACAATAAAGCTCAAGATCCTG